CCCCCCCCCCTCTGGGCCTGGGAGTCGGACGTCTGCAGGCGGCGGCGGAACCCTGGGTACCCAGGCCGCTGGCGGCCCCTCAGGGGTGACTGTGCTCAGACTGAGTGCCGTGGGCCAGGCTAGTGGTCTGGCCACCTCCGCTTTCGAGGCTTTGCGGCAGGATAGTCCAGAGGAAAGACAAGGTGAGTTGCTCTTTCGCTTGCTCTTAGCACAAGAAAATGATTGTCCTGGAGAAAAACTTTTTGAAACAAGCAGCGGTTCCCTGGAGGCAAGCAAGAAAACTTAGTTAAGTTCTGGAAACTGCTCAGTAATCCGGATGTGAATGAGAGTCTTAGAGACCCATCACTTTCCTGGGAGGGCTCATTGTTCTTTTAGGGGATTAGATGATGAGAAAGTGAAGGTGGGTAGTCACAGCTGGCCTCTAGGAGTGGAGTTATGTGCGCGCAAGTTGCCTCGACTTTTCTTTGTGTGAGAACTTCAAGCACGCATTTGGCGACAAGCTCAGTAAGAAGTTTAGTGAATGAGTTTAGTGGTCTGTACTCTTCCCAACTGTAAAACCAGAGTCGTTCTTCTGATTTTATTTTACTGATTTTTTTTTTTTTCTGGTGAAACTGATGGTTGAAAGTACAGTTCTTTACTTTTGGGGCAAGCCTTTGGCACCAGCTACAAGTGGGGAAGGATCGAAATCCATCAAAGCATCTTTTCTTTTTCTCTTTCCTCCCTTCTCTATAAATCTGCAAGCACCCCCGCCTTCCGACTGTTTGCCAGTCTCTCGAGAGTGGAATGGACAGCGCTACTATTTGAACCTTCTGTTCTTCCCTACGGGAAGAAATGCAGGTTTCCCATATTTGTAAAGCCATCAATACGTTTGCAAAGTCCAGTACCGGAGATTGGTTATCCAAGGAGTTTTTATGATTATTTTTTCTCTCGTTTATTGTACACAAGTCAATCACCTCCATCTCCTGTGCTAGGTAGGATTATTAGTTTTAGAATTCTACTGAAGCTTTTTCAAATGAACTTTTCCTGCTGAAAAAGTGGTTTCATGAACCCTCTCAGGGCCTACTAGTACTGAAAATGTCATTTCAATGTTTTCGTGTAAGTCCAAGTCAGGTTATAGCTTATGGAATCTGAGAGCAATGATACAGTAAACCATTAATTAGAAAGTTTCTTTGAATCATGAAAATGGCAGATCATAGCAGATTACAGGATGTACTTTGAAAAAGACTGTATTGAAATGAGGCATGTATCGTTTTGTGTCCCCCTAGGCTAACGTTTTGCACATGCTCTAGTTTATTTCAATAGATAACATGGATTTTAAATATTTCTCATGAAGGACTGAGGAGTGCTTAAGAGTAAAATTATTGAGTAAAACTACTGTCACAGAGAAGTCAAAGAATTCCTTAAACTGAACTGATCGTTCTGGCTGAGGACTCCTTGTGAGAAATTGATTTATGTGATTTCTTTTTTGGGGGCACCAAAGTGTTCTGCTTAATAAGGCTGGTTGTTTTGTTTTATTCTTTGCTTCAGTTGGCCCCCTATATAAACAAGCTCTTTTTTGAAAGCCTACTTTAATAGCTTTCTAAATTGACTACCTCCTCTTACACGTATCCATGAGCTATAGTAAAGTCCTCTGTTTATCTTACTCATTCATTAGACAAAGACTAACAGCGATTCCGAAGTGAATGTTTTCCTACACAGAAAAACCTTACGTTCAAAAGAAGGAAGACTACATGTAAGAAAAAACTACACTGAGTGTAAGGCATAATATTCAATGATAAGTGTGGCAGAAGCAGCAAAACAAGGTATAGCAGTTGAGAGGGCAGAGGTCGAATGTAAATGTATCAGTATGTTAAAGATACCTTGTTTTCTAAACCAGCCTAATGTGATCATGATTTTATTGTGTATGTTTCATGAGGGGACTTCAGAAAGTTTGTGGAAAAATTATTTCAAGTGCAAGTTTACTTTGGTGCAAAAATGATTGAAATCCATGCATAGTTTTTTTTTTTTTTTTTAAATAATATGTAGGTCTATGGACTTTTTGAAGACCTCTCATACTATGTATACCATACCAGGAGAGAGTATTTTAGTGCATAAATTGCTGTGGAGATGAAATTTGATACTTTGTATGTGCTGGGAACATACTGATGGAATCACTTCTATAAATAAAATGGAATGGAGAACCAATACCATTCGCTCTCACTTGGCAAACTTCATTAGAAAAGTTTTACTATATTATTGAAAATCGAAAGTACTACAGAGTCTTCGTAACTGTATAGTAAAACATCTTTTCTTTCATCATATATTTGATGTAGGAACAGCATTTTGCCTTCAAAGTGCTAAAGTGTACACCTTCTTTAATTTAAAAATAACATTTCTTTAGACTATAGGACTGTTGTTTAAGAAAATGGAAGAAAATAGGAGAATGTTGGGAATAATGGCTACAAATCACTACTTTAGTTAATATTTGTTTTGCTACATTAGCAAGCTTTGTAGGACAATAAAGCTAAACAGACTTACTCTGGTACTTCACCCTTTCAGATATAATATATACATTCATTAATATGTTCAACATTAAAAAAGTTATTATTTATTTTTTAAGAGAGACAGAAATATAGGAATCCCCAACACAGTGGCCACAGCTGCAGTCGACCCCCAGCCTCAGCCAGCATGCATGAGAAGACCTGCAGACACAAACCTGGACTGTCCCATGTAGCTCTTAGCATCCTGGACTGTTGTGTCACCATTAGGCCACTGCAGCTGAGATTTTTTTAAAAAATCAGAATTTTGTTTAAAAATATTTTTAGGATATTGCCCTTAATATTGGGGATGGGTGGAGATTTGAAGGATTATGGAAATACTAAGTCTGTATTATCTTCAACATAAAATGAAATCTGAAAGCTCTGACATGATTTGAGATTGATATAAGAGTAGTCATTATTGATTCAAATTTGAAACACGATTAAGAATTTGTTATTTAAAAAAATAAAATTATTTAATTTTATTAATTAGTATCATTTAAAAAATTTTCTGTAGGGCAGGCATACTCACCAGAGAGAGACAGAGAGAAGGAATGTGAGAGAGTAAGCCACCAGGACCAGGACTTGAACCACAGTCAACCATGAGGGAGTTCAGTACCTTAATTAGCATGTCATTTGCTGGCTGCAACAATTTGTTATTTTTTTAAAAACATTACCAATAACTTAACTGGAACCTGAAATGGGACCAAAAAAATATTGTTGAGATTTAGTATTAGGGATCAAATAGAGTATTTGTTTTCAAACTGAGATAATTCTTTTTTTTTTTTTTTTGATTTCTTAACTAAACCTAATCATTTTTTTTTTTTTTGGAGAGGTTTTCACTATAGGGCGTGTGCGCTCGCCAGACAGACAGAGAGAGACATAGAGACAGAAAGCGAGAAATCACCCCCCAGAGGGGATGGTCATGCCACAATCCCTTCTCCTTCATTCTCCTCTTGGGATCGTGGGCACGCATGCACACGTGCCCAGTGTGAGTTTTAAGCCACCGGGTCCGGGACGCAAACCGCGGTCAACTATGTGGGAGTCCAGTGACATAGCCATTACGCTAACTGCTGGTTCCCAACCTAATCATTTTTTTAAACCTAACCTCGTTTTAGTCCTCCCCCTTTTACGTGGTGTCATTATAATGAAAAATAAATTTCACTTGGGTAACATCAAAAATGGGGCTATGGGGCCAGAAGGTGGCATATTGGTTAAGACACTGGACTCCCACATGGTCGATTGTGGTTCAAGTCCTGGACCTAGCAGCTTGCTTTCTCACTTTTCTCCTTTTCCTCTCTCTCTTCCTCTCTTTCTCTTTCTGGTGAGTTCACATGCTCTGTAGAAAATTAAAGATAATAAATAAGATTAAATAAATATATATATATTTTAAAAGTTGGGTTACATTTGGAAAACTTCTGAACTAAGAAGATAGGGCAAACCGTATGCTAAATTAGTTTGACATAAACACTTGTAGGTAACAGACATTTATGTTCTGATTCCTAAACACTACTGCATTTGTAAATTGTGTATCTTTGTACTCATGAAAAAATAAGATAATAGATTTAAAAAAAATTATTTATCTTTATTTATTTATTTTAATTTGACCATAAGAGGGACCAAAAGAAAGAGAGTGAGCAAGAGAAAGTGAGAGAGCAAGCTGCCAGGTCCAGGACTTGATCTGCTGTCGGCCATGTAGGAGTCCAGGGTCCTTAACCACCACACCACCTGCCAGCTCCAAAATATAGATTTTTAATTTTTTTCTTTAAATTTTCTATAGGGCATATATACTTTCTGGTGAGACAGAGAGACAGAGAGGAAAACTGATAAGGGACCCCCCCTGTCCTCACCTAGGGGATGACCAGGCCACAATCCCTTCTCCTCTAATTCTTCTTTTGGGAATCTAGTCATGCATGCATATGTGCCCCACTTTTTTCTTTTCTTTTCTTTTCTTTTTTTTTGAGAGATTTTTGCTATAGGGCACATGCATTCACCGGAGGCACGGGAAGAGACAGAAAGCGAGAAATCATTCCAGGGGAGGGGGGAATGATCACACAGCAATCCCTTCTCCTCCCTTTTCCTCTTGGGATTTCAGACATGGATGCAAGCTGCCGGGTCTGGTACTTGAACCGTGGTCAACTACATGAGAGTTCAGTAACATAACCATTATGCCATCTGCTGGTCCGTTTCCTGCATGTTTTTGAAGCCATTTAGTCTGACACTTGAACCAAGCAGTTAACCATGCTAGATTCAGCTGCTTCAAGCATCAACCCAGTGGCTGACCCAAGAAATAGCATTTTCCACTATTCCAGCGCTGCATTTCTGAATTGCTTTTATATTTGTGCTATTCATGAAAATGTCTTAGGGTGAATAAATATTACTAATATGTTGTGAGTGAATAAATCATTTTATCCAGTAGTATTTTTGAGTGGGTGGTATTGCATTCTGAGAAGTTTTCTCTATATTTGATTTTCTTTCTTTCTCTCTCTCTCTCTTTTTTTCTCTCTTCTCCAGGACAAAAAGAAAATAAAAGTGATTCATGCCAGAGTGAACAAGAACCAGTCTTCACATCTCTTCAGCTTTCCCTGAGACCATGTCCTAAGTCTAATGGTGTAATTGGGAGACAAAACATCAGGCCATCCTTTTCTGAGCACGCAAAGAAGCATGACAGCATCCTGTCTCCTCGCCCAGGGGAGCAATCGGGGGGTGAAGAGAGTCCCAGGTCCTTATCGTCCTCTGATCTGGAATCAGGAAATGAAAGTGAGTGGGCCAAAGATTTCTCTCGCACCAGAGCCAGCCTTCCCAAGGTGTCCTCAAGGCCAAGAGACCCTCTTGAGATCCTTACGAAGATTTTCCCAAGTTACAGGCGCCGCCGACTGGAAGACATTCTACAGTTCTGCAAGGGGGATGTGGTCCAAGCCATTGAACAGGTCCTAAATGGGAAAGAACACACACCAGACACCCAGGACCTAGCAAACGCAGGAGAATCGGAAAATACAGCATTTCAGAGAGCTTCACATTTTAGTCTAGCTGGCATTGGTTTTGGAACATTAAGTTCTAAATCAGCTTTCTCTCCTCTGCAAACCACTTCTGCCTCTTATGGAGGTGATTCAAGTGTCTACAGCTTGTATCCTAGAATAGGTATCAGCCCTTTGCGGCTGGCATATTCTTCGGGAAGAGGGCTCTCTGGGTTTATGCCATCGTACCTGACGTCTGGGTTGGTACCAGCACTGCCTTTTCGGCCAGCTTTGGATTATGCCTTTTCAGGGGTGATTAGAGATTCTTCCTACCTTCCCAGTAAAGATTCAGTAACTGCTGCTAGACTGTACTGCAGACCAAATCGGGACAATCTGTAACGGGTCTGCCTATTCTGCCTTTCTAGAGTATTTTAAAAACATGTAGTATGTACACACCCGTGTTAACGTATGTGAGTGTGAATATGTATGCGAGTGAATTACCAGGACTTAAAAATGCTATTTTTTTTCTTTTTATGCGCAACATAATAGTATTTAGAGCTGAAGCGTCTTCTTTCACATTTATTAAATGAAAGAAATATCTGAACATTATATGTGCCTTGAATAAAGCTCTTTAAGTAACCAATTTTACTTTAAACTAATGAATTTTCTCCCTAAAAGATTATTTGTTAATTTCCTATTTTAAACTACACTTATTTTTATTTTATTGAAAAGTAGGGCTTATTGTTGTAAAATGCATTTGTATGTATAAAGCAATTCAGTATAATATAAAATGAACCCAAAGGAGGAATTTAAAAACTGAGGTAATTCTAAAGAATTGTTATTTTTAGTCTTTTTTTCCTTTTTGTTCCTTGTTCAGAGGCAAGTTATTCAAGTATTTAACAAATACTTCATTTGTAGGTAAGTGATTAGTAGTAAAGCTTTTGAAAAACTTGAATTTCTCATTTGTGCTCAATGTCCTACTTTTAACTCTTTTCTGAAAACAATTACCCATATTGAACACACTTATCTTTAAAGTTAAATTTCTGAATTACTAAAGGTGTATAAAATAGATACTAGAAAAAGGAACTGCGCCACCTTCTGGCCACTATCACTGATTGCAGGTCAGTTCTGCACAGGATAGAAACTGGAAACATTGTTTTCTAACAGCATGAGCTAAGCATTTTTGAAATAATCATTGTGGATCATGCTACATTAAAATTTTCATATGGTAAAGTGCACATCTACTGTGGATCAGGATTTTAATTTTTAAGTGTGCTTATACTTGTGCCGAGGGAAATATGCCCTTTCCATATGTTTGGGAAAAGAAGCCATTCTCAAAGGTAAATATAATTTTATTCAGAAAACTGGAACTAGCTGCTCAAATAACTTTTGATTGACTCTAAATAGATTATGCTTAATTCACTGGGAAGAGATAAAAGATTTCCAAAGGGGAAAATTGGTGTTTTATTTTAGAGGTGTTCTTGAGATTTCAAAAATACTTTTTGTTCTCTACCTGGAGCATTTGAAAGCTGTTTATTTCTGTCATTGGAAAGTTCCTAAGAAAACTGCTTACAAAACAATTTTATGAAGTTTTCTATATATGTCATTTTTTTAAAGGATAGTAGCTTTATTGTTATTGCTAGGAATAAATGGAAACCTAGCTATGATAAAAGATAAATGAATTAAAGATAGTTAAATGGTTTGAACAGTATTATTTATTAATGATTTATTTAATTGCACATATCTGTATGTGAATATATATATATGCACATATATTTGTATATAAACATACAGATAACACTAAAGCCTCGTCTAAAGCCTTCCATCATCGTGAAGAACTTTTTATGAAGCCAGTAAGAATACAGTTCTAAAGCATATTTTAACAGGGAAAATCATACTAAATTACTGCAGGATACTTGATGCTGATTAAGAATATAAATATGTTTAATAAGTTATGTATTCATCTAATGGTGTGAAAGTGAGAAAACATCCTGTAAAATTTTTTTTAGAGCCTGTAAAAGTTTTTTTAGATCCTGTAAAATTTTGATGTACTCAATATTTATTTATTATAAAGAAGTTTTAGCTCTTAAGTCTAAACTACAGCATTATACCATACCCGACAAGGAGTTGATATTCAGTTAAAATATACTGAGTGAAGAAATCATTTTGGATAATAGATCTCTGTGAGCCTCTGATAAAGACCAAAGTATTCTAGGAAGTAGTCTACAGATACAGTTTTGCATAAAAATTCATGGTTTTTTTTTTTTTTTTGCATCTTCTAAATGCTATTCAGGTTGGAATCATTGGTGATTCTTTAGTTGTTTCTATTGCATTAATCCATTTATTGAATTTTTGTTTTTTTGAAAAGGGCTAGGTTCTATAGAGGATACTGAATGTAAAATATTGTACTCTAAAGAAGTTAGAGTTCTCTTTAAGTAGAGATCTGATTTAAAAATACCACAATGCTAGAATTCTTTGTGTGGCTTACATAATGATGTCCATGTACCTGTTTGAGAAACTGAATTACTTTTCAACTGGGAAAATTCTAGGAAGTAGTCTACAGATACAGTTTTGCATAAAAATTCATGGTTTTTTTTTTTTTTTGCATCTTCTAAATGCTATTCAGGTTGGAATCATTGGTGATTCTTTAGTTGTTTCTATTGCATTAATCCATTTATTGAATTTTTGTTTTTTTGAAAAGGGCTAGGTTCTATAGAGGATACTGAATGTAAAATATTGTACTCTAAAGAAGTTAGAGTTCTCTTTAAGTAGAGATCTGATTTAAAAATACCACAATGCTAGAATTCTTTGTGTGGCTTACATAATGATGTCCATGTACCTGTTTGAGAAACTGAATTACTTTTCAACTGGGAAGAACATTAATTTGGGGCAGTATTCAAGCTCTAAAAGATATTAAAACTTAATTTATAAATGTATACATTCCATACCTTTAATAATAGATGCAGTGCTTAAATAACCTTATAGAATAGGGATCAGCAGTTGGCATAATGGCTATGTCCCTGGACTCCCATGTAGTTGATCATGGTTTGAGTCCTGCACCTGATGGCTTAAACTCACACCAGGAGTGTGTGCGTGCATGCCCAAGATCCCGAGAGGAGAGTAGAGGAGAAGGGATTGCGACGTGGCCGTCCCCCTTAGGGGGTGATTTCTCGTTTTCTGTCTCTCTGTCTCTGACTTTCTGGCCAGCGCATGTGCCCTATAGCAAAAAAAAAAAAAAAAAAAAATCCCTATAGAAAAAAAAAAAAAAAAAAAAAAAACAAAAACTCTCAAAAAAAAAACCTCACAGAATAAGCCATTTGTCCAACTATTAAATAGTATATTAAGAAACTTATCAGTAGTATTTCATAGTATAAGTCATCAGGATTGCAATAACTTCAATAATTTCAACCCTAATTGTGAAGAAGGATTCCTGTCTGTTTCATTTCTGCATAGCTATCTACAGTATCTGATACATAATAGGCATTCAGCGAATAGTTTTCCACTGACTGAATTAAATAAAAGTTGAAAAGTATTAGCTCAGAAATTTATTCATTAAACACTTATTTATTTATTTATTTTTTGTCATAGGAAACATGTGCATGCCCGAGAGTGACAAAGGAAAGTGAGAAATCACTCCCCAGGAGGGATGGCCATGTCACAATCACTTCTTCAGTCCCCTCTCAGGACTTTAGTTATGCCCACACATGCTTCTGGCATGTTTCTCACTCCCGAGTCCAGGACTGGAAATGCAGTCAGTCATGTTGGAGTCCAGTGCCTTAATCAACACACCACCAGCTGGCCTTAAGCACGTCTTTATTAAACACCCACTTTCCTCATACACTGTGCAGGACCCACGGAATAAAAAGAAATTCATTTACATGACCTGACCTGAAGTTACTCGCAATCTCTACTGCCTGTGTACGAAGACAGACCACTCCCGTTTTGGTAATATTTGACAATATTGGTACATCAGTGAGTTCTCAATAGTCTAGCATTTATGCTCATAGATGCTACTTGTCACTAATTGGGGATGGGAAAGAAGACGGGTAAACATTATAATAGCATGCATATGACAAAGATGAGTAGGTTTGTTCTTACTGTGTATAGGTTAAAGCAAGTGAAAGAGTCCTGGAGAGAGAACTCAGAATAGGCGTTAATGGCTGTCCAAGAGTGAGATGGTTGCCTTATATGACAATGCGTCCTCTACTCATTGAGAATCCATGTAGAAAATACCAGTCAGAGGCCTGGGTGATGAGATTTTTCATCACTGCTTCAGTCAGAGCTTCATTATTTATAAGCTAATCAGAAATACAATAACTATTTGTTAACTCAATTAATGAACAAATCTCAATGCTAAGAAAAATGAAAATATTCAAGCTTTTTTTTTCGTCAGTAAGACCTAGTTTTTCCGTTATGATAATCTCCAGGGAGTAGATAACAAAGGAAGAGTCAGAACAGTACATGGTTTTCAAAGGATTCACCTTGGTGGAGATTAATGTGAGATAAGTAAGGCATGGGGAAGAAAAGGGAGCTCAGAGAGGGCCTGGACGAGGATTGGAAGATTCATAAATCTTTCATAACGAACACACCGATCGTCTTTCCTGAAGGAACACGCTTTGGGGTAGAGACCTAGGAGGGTTTTATCTGCTGAATGATTTGGGCAGGTCACTCACACTTTCTGGGCATTCATTTCTTCTCAGAGAAGCAAGGATAATAGTATCTAACTTGCAAGACTCAGTGGAGATAAAAGCTTAAATAAACTTCAGAGTACAGTAATGCTTATATACTGAGTGTTAAATAAATAACTCTTACTGTTCGTACTTTGTATTAAGATATTATCTTTGCCCCCTGGTGGCAGCCTCTCAACAGAGTACTGTAATTGCATTTAATCCACTTAGAGGCTGTGGAACCCGAAGGGCAGTGATCGGCAGAGGAACGGACAAGCTTAGTCCCAGACTTCCTGTTTGACTGTCCATTTCATAGCATATTATTGTGCACGTTAATTGGATTCTAGCAAGGGGTGAGAGAAGAAAACAAACAGAAAAACCAGAGTTTTGCGTTCATGCTACATTTTCCTGTCAGGATTCAATGATGAAAACAGAGGCTCCATATGTATATGTGAAAGAAGTGAGTTACAGAAGTATTCTTCTTCTTTTATATGGTCAAATCCCCCCCTTCCATTGAATATCCTATGGTTTTATTTTGAAATATAATTAACCACCATTAATACATCTTTTGTTAGAGTGTTGAGAAAGATAGACACACACACATACACATATATGTGTGTGTGTACTATATATATATATAGTACACCATTAGTATGTGCAAGGGATTAGTTCCAGGAAACTATCCCCATCCCCAAATCCACATGTACTCAAGTCTCTTACAGTTGCCAATCCTCTGTATTTGCAGGTTCAGCATCAACAGATGTGAAGGATCTTTGGTACATGATTTGTTGAATTTGTGGATGTAGAACTTGTGGACACAAAGGGCAGATTGTGTGTAGACACACACACACATACACACACTCACATCATAGTCTTGCTTCGAAGCAAGGAAGAAGTAGATGTTGCTACCTCCTAGATCTCTCATGTTTAGTCATGGAACCGTAACCAATCATGGGATCACATATGGTATTTATGACTTCCTTCTTCCTGTATCCTTTTCATTTTTTTCCTAGTAAGTTTCTTTGTGGTTTCCTTCTTGGTAAGGTGACCCAAATCCTGATTCCTGGAGAGTCTGTGCCGTTAACTGTCCTATCTCTATTAATTTGTAGCTTTCTATTAACTTTTACCACAAAATATTGGATGATTAAGTGACATTCGAGGATTTTTTGAATGCTGGTCAGAATACCATTCGTCTCTTTCGTGCTGTTTCCTGTTGAGTACCATGAGGTACTCAAAATAGCCAGTGGTAGCCTCAGATTGCATTTCAGTGTTGTAGTCTGTTCCAAAGTTGTCTTTCCTTTGGGAAGACCTTTAAATCAGAAAAGTCAAAAGTTGTAGAGAAAGGAGACAAATCTATTATTAGTGACTTTTAGGAGGAACATTTCCCTGTGATTCCTGGACTCCTGAACCCTCAGTACTAGAGAAACATCACTATGTATTTATCACTGATTTGGAGCCTATCTTAGACCCAGGAAGAAGATGTTATTTCAGCCCCATAAAGTGCTTTCACCAGCTGGTCCCATAACTGAGTCTTCCAAAGACCATCCCATAATTTTATTAGGCCAGCTGTTTCAGGATGAGGAAAACACGATGAGACCAGTGAATTCCGTGAGTATGAGCCCCATATTGTACTCCATTTATTATAAAATGAGTTTTTCTGTCTGAAGTAATGTTTCATGGAGTACTGTGAAGGCAAACAAGGTATTCTGTAAGCCCACAGACGATGGTTTGAACAGAAACATTAAAGGTAGGAAAGGCAAAACCGTAACTAGTATGTTTTTTCTTCTTTATTTCAGTGAGAACAAAGAGATGATCCTTCGATGATGGCAGTGATCCAATGTAATCAACCTGCCACCAGGTGGCTGGCTGGTTCCCCCTAGGACTGGTGCCATTTCAGGGGCTCAGTGTTGATCTTTCCTATTGGCAGGTTGGGTACTCCACAGTGACTCTAGTCAAATTGGCTTTGGCTAGTGGACATCCATGTTGCTGAGCCCATTTATAAGGTCCATCTCTGCTTCCCTGATC